TGGGGCGGGCAAGATGGCCGCCCCCATCAAGATCACGGAGGAGGAGGGGGCTGGGCAGGGCTGACGCCCTTTTTTCCCCCTCCTTTCCCCCTCTCCAGACATTTCCCGCGATCTGCCCTTCTCCTTCTGAAAAGGGGTTGTCCGGCTACCCCCATTCCCCCCCATGCATTATTGATTGTGGGGTCTCCATCCCTGCTTTTCACCTGAGCCCTCGAAACACGCCTTGGCCTCCCCCCGCTTTCTCAAAGCAAATGTCCGAGCAAGCGAAGGCGTCACAGTTTCTGCAAAGTTTGGAGTTTTAGGGGTTTTTTGCATCATGTCTGAAAAAGGATTTGTTTTCCCCCCCGGGCTCCTGGTGTGAAGCAACACAGCCGTTTCATCCTTTCTTTTAATCGAGGCTAGGAAACGAGAGGCTGATGGGCCAAGCTCTTGCTATGTAGTGTGTTGTAAAGGGGCCATGGGGAATATATTAACCCCCTTCCCCGGCCCACGAAAAGGGGCTCGCCGAGCAGAAGGACTTTCCAATCCGGGTAGCTTTGATGAACTCCACCGAAAATGCAAAGGTAAATGCCTTTTTTGCTCACCTATTCACAGATTTTGCTCCTTGGCCGGATTTGGCACGAGGGCTGCTAGTTGCAGACCCCCTGCATTCGCACTTTGCATGGTGTCTGAGCCATGGTTGGGTGTGTGCCTCAGCTCTGGTGTGTGATATGACTAACCATGATTAGGCAACCTGTGACTTGTTGCGTCGCATATTTGTTTCCTAGCCCAATTGGGTATATTTGGGAGAATTTCTGTGCTGGGATGAAAATCTTGCGTATGGAGAAACATCCTTGTTGGATTTGGGGGGAAATTGCTGAATCTTATGTTTTCCAATAGTATTATTTTAACAGCTTGCTGGCAATTACCTTGAGCATTACAAAGTGGGTTTTGTTTTTCTGTTCCTGGTGCTGCTTCTTGTTTGTAAACGGCATTCTCTTTCTCACCCTATTTCCATTTCAGATGTTTTCCCCCAACAAATGGAAGGAGTCAAGCTGATAATTAATAAATACCTGAGTAGCCATTTCCAGGTGGGTATCCTTGCTTCTAGGAACCAAACTTTGGCTGGGTTTCCATAATGTGTTCGCCTACCTCGCAGGGTGGGTGTGATGTGGAATAATGGAAGGAAGGAGTGCTATGTCCCCCATCCAGGGCTTCCGAAGGAAAGATGGGAGAGAAATCTAGCAAGCAAACAAACATTAGGCTAAGATGCCTCGTACATAATTGGTTTAGAGTTCAATGAGTTTGACACCACTTTTCTGGGTTAATGTGGTAAAACCGTGTTAAAGTAACCACAGTTTGACTTTTTAGAGAAATATAACCGTGTTGCATCAATGGAAAAATGACCCTTTCCCTCTGAACGTTTGCGGGGGGGGGGGTAAATTGATGGAAAAGAGTGAATTTGGGAGCTGAATGCTCACCTACTGCTGTCTTCAAAAATAATGTCTCAAACTTGTTCAGCATTTTGGAACAGCCATTCCAGAAGTCGACCACCGGTTGTCAGTCTGATGGTCCCAAAATGTTCTTGATTGCTTTTATGGACTGCTAGTCAGCAACAACACTGCTAGCTTCACAGCACTCAAATGAATGGTCAGGGACTACAGATAGTCCTTGCTTAACAACCATTCGTTTAGTGACCGTTCAAAGTTACAACGGTGCTAAAAAGGTGACTTACAACCAGTGCCCGAAGTTACGACCGTCGCAGCACCACCGCGGTCATGTGATTACAATCCGGGCACTTGGCAACCAACTCACACTTACGATGGTTGCAGTGTCCTGGGGTCACGTGATCGCTATCTGCGACCTTCCCAGCCAGCTTCTGACAAGCAAAATCAATGGGGAGCTGCGTGATTTGCTTAACAGCGATGGTGATTCGCTTAATGACCACTGCAAAAAAGCTTGTAAAATCGGGTGTGACTTGGTTAACAACCAGTGTTCTGGTCGTTATTGTGGTCGTAAAGCGAGGACTACCTGTATTCTGTTCCCCTAAAAGCAGCAATAATAGTCATTTCGAGGGGAGAGCCCATTCCAGCGATTGGACCCCCTGTGGGATAGCACAGCCTCCCAGCTCCCACCCTTTTTGACTCCCACCAATGCTACATTCCTAAGGATCAAAATCCTTCAGGTTCAAAATCAAAGGAATAATGAAAATAGCGTCACTCCTTTGTTTTTCTCTCGCCTCCACCAGCAAGAGGCTGCATCTTTTCAGATCTTTCTGATCCTAATTTAAAGCAGCCATCACTGGTTTCCTTCCAGGTGACCCACACCGTTCACATGAGCACAATTGGCCACTCGAGTTACCACCTCAATGCAACCTACGTGGGAGATCAGCAGCTGAGTCCTGCCGAGGTGAGCGAAAGCAGATTTCTTGCTACATCCAGGCAGACGAGATGGAACTGAAATTGTCCTTTGCTCCTCATTCCCAAGTCAGAAGTGGGCGGGTTTGGGAGTCGCTCCAGGGACAGCAGGTGGGATCCGGTGAGTTAACCAGGTCTTCGTTCTGCCTTTGGATCTGGAAGGATTGAGGTGTGCAACGTCAGCATAAGGACGATCTGAAGAACAGTGGTTTGAGAAACGGCGAGATCCATTTAGACTTCATTTTCACACCCATTTAAACCTTGCTAGAGCAGCAATAAGAAAATTCTGGTTAAGGGGTAGCTGCAAATTATGGGTGATCTCAGTGTTTCCCAACCTTGGCAACTTTAAGACCTGTGGACTTCAACTTCATGGCTGGCTGGGGAATCCTGGGAGTTGAAGTCCACAGGTCTTAAAAGTTGCCAAGTTGGGAAACCCTGGTTTATCTCCTCCCCAAGGATCAATTCCAAAGGTCAGACAATGGTTTACAGTTCTTTGAGGCTGGAAAAAGTTCCTTCCCCTCCCCTAAGCAAAATTCCTAAGGGTCCCCCCCTTTTTTTTCTTTTTAAATGTGGTAAAAAAGGGCAACTGCTTTTCCCATGCAAATAATAGGGCTGTGATCTCTGGGCACCAAAATTGCAAAGATTCTCTAGATGGCAGCGAAGAGAGATGGGGAGGGAAAAAGTGGTGTTGCTCCCACCTAGTGATTCCCCCAAGTCTTGCAGCCCAGATCTGTTAGGTTTATGGAAAGAGAAGGGGGAGCTTAGCATGAAGAAGAGAAGGCAGTGGCAGAGACGATGGGGGTGGAGTATGGGTGGTTTTTCAAACCTCCGCTCCGAATCGAGATGGGAGGAGTGCCTCTGAGAACATGCAGAAGGCTCGAGCTAACCACGGCAGGCGTGCCTCTGAGGACAGGCAGAGGGCCTTTCCAGTGCCCCAGATCATCCCAACCCAAACCGATGAACCCTTTGTAATATTTCTCAAAATTCACCCTCCCCAAGACCACCTTAACTGAGTTTGTTTTCCTCCTCCCCCCTCTTTCAACCATTGGTTGGCTTTCCCCATTGCACAAAACCCTGTTTCACCATGTTTAGCACATAAGCCCCCACGGGCAGGGTTCCTGCAGCACGCTAAGCCAGTCCTGAAGCCAAACGTTTGTGTACTTTGAAAGTGTGCAAACCTCACTCCAGATTCGTAGAAGGTGCAAACGTGACCTTCGTTCTGCCAGAAACAGTCAATAGTTCCAGGCCCTAGAACAGTTAATAATTGAAAGTTTCTCGGAACGGCAGTGAAATTTTGGCTGAAATTGTAGGGTTCTAAGAGTTTTGTACATTTTTTTTTTTTTAATTCATCCAGTCCCCTTTCCTGGTTCCTTCCCAGGCTTTCCCCACCCTTACTGGCGATATTAACAACGTCGGGAGCCTCAGTGCCCAAGTTCTCCATCTTTTAGCGGAGCGGATACGCACCAAAGCAGTTTTTCAGGTACAATGTCTCTCCCCGCGCATTGGTCTGGATTCAAGACAGGATCTTGACCTTCTCAAATCGGCCGACAAAGGTGTGCCGCCCCCCCGTCCCTCTGGAGCAGCGCTGGGCTACCTCGCAGGACCGTTGTAAAGATGATGCACATTTGAAGCCCAAAGCTGCAGCTTGGAGGCTGGAAAATTGGCAGGTTAAACAAAAAAATTGCACACCAAAGCAAATAGAGACCCAGATTGGGAATCAATATAACATAATCAATGATTATGGAATAAATATGTATGACTTGGGATAATGCAGATTCCAGCTCATTTCAAATTCTTTAAAGAAGGGATTTCCCTGCATGTAGAAAACTAGGGAGTCTCTCCCTTGACATGCTAGATTTCTGCATGGGTGATTTTTTTTTTTTTTTACAAGATGGAGCTATCCTATTGCAGTCCTGTTTCCCCCCCCCCCCCATCTCCCCCCCCCTTGAATTCTGAACAGCCCAGGCTGAGCTCTGAGAAGTGGGTTAGGAATTTCCTTTTAAAAAGGCATTTCCTGACTGCTTCAACCTGTTTCAGACTCAACAGGCCAAATTCACGACTTGGCAGTTCGATACCGAATATCGTGGGGACGACTATACGGCCACCCTGACTTTGGGCAACCCCGATCTGATCAGCGAATCGGGTGAGTGAACGTGCCAGGCGGGCAACCGTTGGCAGGTTTAAGCATCTGTCCCCCAGTTTAGGTCCCTTAATTTCTTTCTTTACGGGTTAGTTTCTGTAGCTCCCGTGGAAGTGTGAGTTGTCCTGATATAAAAGACTTTAGATGTGACCTTGGGGAAGGTGTGAAAGAGCCATGGGGGAAAGAGTTGAAGAAGAGATTACACAGTCCAGAGTGTGAAGGGAGGGTGAGAAAGAGATCAGAATAAACCCGCTTTGATTTTGTTTCGTATAAGATGGGACAGAGAGAAATTTAAGCAAAGGGGGCCCAAGCTTGCTTGATGCTGCTAAACTGGGCTGCTAAACCAGCGTTTCTCAAACGCGGTAACTTTAAGACGGGTGGACTTCAACTCCCAGAATTCCCCAGCCAGCCATGTTTAGCAGCATCAAGCAAGCAAATGGATGAACATCCATTCAGTTTTATTGTTTAGCACAGTGTTTCTCAAACTCAGTAACTTTAAGACGGGTGGACTTCAACTCCCAGAATTCCCCAGCCAGCCATGTTTAGCAGCATCAAGCAAGCAAATGGATGAACATCCATTCAGTTTTATTGTTTAGCACAGTGTTTCTCAAACTCAGTAACTTTAAGACGGGTGGACTTCAACTCCCAGAATTCCCCAGCCAGCCATGTTTAGCAGCATCAAGCAAGCAAATGGATGAACATCCATTCAGTTTTATTGTTTAGCACAGTGTTTCTCAAACTCAGTAACTTTAAGACGGGTGGACTTCAACTCCCAGAATTCCCCAGCCAGCCATGTTTAGCAGCATCAAGCAAGCAAATGGATGAACATCCATTCAGTTTTATTGTTTAGCACAGTGTTTCTCAAACTCAGTAACTTTAAGACGGGTGGACTTCA